AAAAAAAAAAAAAAAAAAAAAGATGGTGCTGACAGGCAGGCACTCAAGGGGCAGGCGTTCTCTCCCTCTCTCTCCGGTGGCCTCCGCCAGGCCGTGCAGCCCCTGCTCTTCCTTTCACTCCAGGAAGCTGGGCATCGGGTCCACCCAGCCCTGACTGCTTTCAGAAGCTTCTGTGGGTTGGCCTCAGATTGCATCTGAGCTCTCTCACCCTCCTAAGGCAAGCGTCATCCAGAAACCTGAGCTGACCTCTAACCATCTCTAGCTGTCTCTCATTCCTTCACTCAAATGTTGCTTGATCAACTGCTGTATGCTCCCAAAGCTCAGTGAGTGCAGGAAAGGAAGTCGCAGTCTGGGGCTCGGAGGCAAGGTTCAGCACAAGCCCCGTGCTGCTTAAAGGCAGCAGAGAGGGCTTCCTGCGGACTAGGAATTGAGCGGGCCCTGAGAGTGGCGAGAATTTGGACATGGACCTCTGAGAAGGGCATTCGGGATAGCAGAAGTATTGGGGTCAATATCTGAGAGGCTGGGACATGAGAGGGTATCAGAAAATCACTCAGTTTTCCACCAGCCACATTCAGGTCACACCCACTCTGATCTGCACCACTGCGACAATGCCTCCAGCGGTGCCCCTCTGACACCTTCTGCCGAGAGAAAACATCCCCCAGATTCACCGTCGACCTTGCTTGTCCATGGCGCCCATCGCCCTCTGGCTGCGCAGGTCCTTGGTGGCTTGGACCTGCTGGTTGTTCTGGCTGCCACCGTATCACTTCCCGCTGTTCCCTCTGGTTCACTCATTTCTTCATCCGACTAATATTTACTGAGCACTTACTGTGTACCAGACCCTGCTTGAGACGCCACGCTCAGAGGGGTGAATCCGAGCAGAGAAATCCATGATCTCATGACACTGATATTCTGGTGAGGAGACGGAAGATACAGAGACACGAAAGCACGAGATTACAGGTGGAGTTGAGAGCAGATACGAAAAGTATGGCAGGATCAGGGGGTAGAGCATGAGAAAAGAGTTTTTAAAATACGTATTTTAAAATGTAACTGTGCTCAGATACTGTTTTGTCCTTCCTGGCTTAAAGAATCTAGACTTTGTTGCTGTGACAGTTTGGTGCCTAAGGCTGAATCCTGATTGGATTTGGCTGATTGTGGTAGGCTCACTCCCCTTTGCCAGGGATTGGTCCAGGGATGGACATGTGACTCCATTTTGGCCAATAGGATTTAAGAGAAACGGTGCCAGAGGCTTGTGGGAGTGGCTTTCTTAGAAAGGGACATGAATAGAGAAAGCTTTCTGCTCTCCTTACTTTTTGCTTGACCTACTGCCACGGAGGATGTGATGTTGGGAGCTATGGCAGCCACCTTGTGACCATGAGGGATGATAGCATGGCATGAAAGAGTGGCAGAGTGCAAAATTAGAAAAACTTTTGTCCTTAGTAACATCATGAAACCCCTGAACAAGCCCAGGGTCCTTACCCCAGAACTTCTTATTCAGTCAACACTAATGTTTTAGACATAACTTCCTAAGCAGGTGACAAACAGCTTTCAGCAAACAGATGGTCCCCAACTTACGATTGTTTGACCTAGATATTTTGACTTTACCATGATGCAAAAGCAATGTGCATTCAGTAGAAACCATACTTTGAGTTCCCATACAGGCATTCTATCTTCCATTTTCAGTATAGTATTCCATAAATTACACAAGATATTCAGTACTTTATTATAAAATAAGCTTTGTGTTAGGCGATTTTGCCCAGCTGTAGCTAATGTATGTGTTCCGAGAATGTTTAAGGTAGGCTAGTCAAAGGTATGATGTTCAGTAGGTTAGGTGTATTAGTTGCATTTTCCACTTAATGATATTTTCAACTTACATGGGTTTATCATAAGTTGAGGAGTGTCTGTGCTGACTTATGACTTCCCTCAGCCTTCAAGGCAGGCAGCTACATGGAGCCAAGTGGCTGGAGTCCCTAGGCTGGTAGCCTCTGATCTCAGCCTTCTGTTTCCCACAGCTGCCAAGGCATGCCATCGTCTCTCTGCACGACATGCAGGGATGGGGTGAAGTCTGGCAAGCACTGCTTGAGGCCCCGGGGGTCACATGCCCCGCCATTGACAATATCCCTGTCCTTAGTGATTTCCCTCCGCACCGGTCATCTGGAATTCCTCCTGCTCGCCAGCAGTGTGGACCCTGTCTTGCTCTGTGTTTTTGCACTGCTGTCCTCTTCGTCTGCATGCCCTATTTTCTCGTCTCCTTCTGGCAAACTCCTACTTACCCCTAAAAGCCCAGTTGGAGACCAAACATTGACTATTCTGTGGAAGTCCTCGGAGCCTCCAAGCTTCTGGTCCAGTCTCCTTGTGCCACATGTTCCCCTTAGCTGGTGGCCTCTTCTGCTGTAGACTGGGCCCTCCCCAAAGCCAAGGACTGGGTTTCATTGATCTCTGTGGTCCCGGCTCCTCGTGCAAGGCCTTGAGGGCTCAGACTAGGGGCTATTTTTGTGGTTTAGCTAAATGTGCAAGGTGAGTGAGTGAATGAATGAATGAAGGATGAGCAAATTTCCTCAGCTGCCCGACTGAGGGCAGAGGCCAGGATGGCGTCTCCTCTGAGCAGGGCACAGCCCAGAGGTGGTGCTGGCACGGTGGTTGTTCCAATGGTTGAGGTGACTCCCTGCAAAGCAGGCGGGCGGTCTGCTGCGGCGGGCGGGTGGAGGCCTGCCCGAGCCGCCTGCTGCTCCCTCGGGTCTCGCTTCTCCCCTGCGTCTTGGGTGCCTTCAGGGGCCAGTCCGGCCCGCGTCCCAGCCCAGCCCTCTGCCAGCTGAGTTATCCGCTCTGCCATCTGCTTCCCTCACAGGCGCTCGGGGGCCGGGGTGGGAGACAGGCGCTGGCTCTGCTGCTCTGGGAAAATTAATTAGCCTGGGTCTTGCAAATCGCTTTGAAGACAAAAAAAAAAGAAGAAGAAAAAGAAAGAGAAAATACACCCACGAGCCCCTTATCGGAATGCCTGTTACCTTGGGGCTTACCCCCCCGTGCTCGGGCAGGGTGTGCGTCCATCATTCCATTCCATACCTGTTTTTCTAGAAAATCCAACTCCGGGAAGCCTGGCGCCCCATGCTTAGCGCAAGGTGCACGTGCGGAGCTTCGGCGTTGGACTGGGCCTCCGAGCCTGGGGACCCCCGCCTGGCATCCAGCCTGGCGCCTCAGTATCTCCACAGAACGCGGTCGCGACACTGCTGTCGCGCGACAGGTGCTTGGCAAGCAGATCCCCGCCTGCCCTCGCTGTCTGGGGACGGAGCAGACAGAGTCCGCGCAGCCCCAGGTGGGGCTTCCCAGCTGCCTCCGCAGGGACCACCCAGCCAGCCTACCTGCGACAGGGCCAGCCTCCAGCCAGAACCGCAGCAACAGCTGACAGCCCTGGGCGGCAAGGATGCCAGCTTCCGCCCGCATCGGGCCGTGCTGGGCCGGGCAGGCAGCATGGGGGACCCTTGGCGTTACACCTCCGGACTGGAGTCATCTTCTAGAGATGCCCTGGAGTGTTCTCCCTGCCCTTTCCCAGACTGGAAACTGAGGCTCAGAGAGGCCCGGCCTCTGGTAAACCGATCCGCAGCTGGACTTCCTGACTTCAAACCCCGGCTGGGCTGGGGGAGGAGGTGGCTGACAGGCAGGCAGGTGAGGTTTGGCAGAGGAAAGGTCTGGAGCTTTTATATGCCTTCAAAAGTTTGGCATGGGGAGCTCGAGGTGGGCGATGCTTCCTTCGGGGCCCTCCCCCTCTCAGGTCTTGGCATACCTGCCAGGCAACAGGTGGGCTCATTTATGGCTCCAGGTGAGCGACCATGGCCCCCGCTGAGGAGTGGGGGGAGGCAGGCTGGGCCGTGGGCTCCAGATGAAAGGCCAGAGGTGCCTCCCCATCTCCACGGCTCCCCACCTGGGCCCCGGCTCCGGACCAGCTCCGTCACCTGGAGCTCTGGGACCCGAAGCCTCCTGGAAAAGTGGACCGTGGCTCTTTTCCTCCACCCCACCTGGGCCCTCTTTGCCCTAGAAGATGTATTACAAGTGCCAGGCTTGCAAAGGGCACTGCCGGGGTCCTTTGGCAGAATGGCTGTGTTGGTGGGCTTCCTCTAGAACAGGGCCCTTGCCTCTCTGAGCCTCGGTTTTCTCTTCTGTGAAGTGGAGAAATGCCCCCCGCCAACAGGGTTGCTGAGGAGAATAGGTGAAATAGAGCAGTAGCAGAGTGGAGTCGGGGTCCTACCTCCGGGGGGGCTCCCAGGCATTGGTTCCCAGCAGACATGGACCCGCCCTGTGCAAGGTACCTGGGGTAAAGGGGGAGGGGGCCTGGGGACTCCATCTCCTAAAGGGACACAGGACAGCTGCTTGCTTCTTTGCCTGAAAAATAGTTATGGGCACCTACCCGGTGACAGGCCTGAGTCTGAGCTGGTCTCTGCTCTCACAGGGGTGGGGAACCTGTGGCCATAAGGCCACATGTGGCCTTCTGGGTCCTTAAGTGCAGCTTTTGACTAAATCTAAATTTTACAGAACAAATCCTTTTATTAAAAGGGGTGCAACAGAGAAAGATGAAGCTTTTCCCGCCTCCTTTGGTGCTTAAAGAAGAACAGTCTTGAAATCATAAGGCCGCGCGTTCCCTACCCCTTTGGGAGAGTAAAACGTGCTGCTGCGGTGGGGTGAGGCTGACAGTGACCAGCATTCAGTAGGCGCTTACTGTATGCCAGGCCCCGTTTTCAACACTTTTTGTGTTTTGATTCATCTAATGCTCTCAACCTACAACAGGCTGGTACGCAATGTCCACTCTCAATTTCAGGGTGAGCACTGATGCAGAGAGGTTGGGTCACAGCCTGAGGACACGACATGCAGCTGGAAAGGCGTGGTCCAGGGACTTGAACCCAGGTTGACTAGCTCTAGAGCCCCAACTTTTAACCTCATAATCAGGCTGCCTTTCAGAGAAGCCTGAGGATTTCTAAACTACAATGCCGTGAAGGAGAATGCGAGAGGAACCTGAGAGAGTCCCACTGCTCTTGCTAGACCACTTGCCCTCTCCTGCTCACACACCTTCAGTGACTCCCCAGTGCCTGTAGGACCAGGGTAGGGCCCTGAGTCACCTGATCCCTCCATCCTCCTCTGGCCTCACCCTCCACCCCTGGCGGCTCCTGTTGGCCCCCCTTCCTGCCCCCTGGGCCCCTCGACACTGCTCTCTTGCCCAAGGCCTTTGCTCCCTTTCCCTGGGCTCAGCTCCTGCGCCCAGTCGCAGTCTCCCAGCTCCGAGGCCACCTCTGCTCCCGGGTTCGGGTTAGCCGAGACAGTCACCCCATCTCCTTTCGGCCTGGAGCGTTCCTGGTCCTGCCAGTCAGACGCAACCGCTCCAGGAGGTTCTAAGAGGTCCTGGATTTTCAAAATAGGATTGTTTTGTCACATTTTTGTTTTTTCCTGTTAAACTCTTGAGTATACAGTAAATATATATGCATGGCAGGAAATCTGGAAAATAGGAAAACAAAAGGCAAACAAAGTCCCCTAACCCTGCACCCCTCCCCAAGAGATTGCTGCCGTAAATGGATGGCATCTGGCCAGCCGGCGTTTTCTTTTCTTTTTCTTTTTTCTTGTCCTAATAATGCATCGTTGTCCAAGCGTTTATTTAAATTTCTGCAGGCAATGGGAAGTCTGTCTTTTCCTTCCTTGTTTCAAGGTTTATTCCCCAGGTGACCAGTAAGTCCTCCTTGCACCTATCTCAAATTCCTCTCATGGGATTCACCGGTGGCCATGTTCCCTAAAGGTGGCCCCTGAGAAGCTGCCGTTCTGGGTTTCAGGAGTGGGTAAGAAGAGGGTCTTCACCGGCATCTGGTCAGAGAAGCCCATGAAATGAGGACCAGGGGGTCACTAAGTGACCGCCAACTTGGAAGGCCTGCTCCCTGGGGGTGGGCACCTCAGTCGGCCTTGTCCCTTCCTGGATCCCCATGGCTCCAGCAGTGCGTGCCCCGTGCAGAGGCTAGGCCGAGGCGGTGGGGTGAGGGCGGGCCGCTCTGGGGCCGGCACAGGGTGCGGGGCTTCCTGGAGGGGTCAGAAGGCCCTGCCCAACTCCCCGCCCAGCCAGGGCAGAGGAAGTGGAGGCTGCCCTGTCAGCATGCCTGGGGGCAGCCTTGCCACAGAGCCATTTATCACCCACAGCGATTTGCGGAATGTGGCAACAGGCCAGTGTCAGAGGGCGCAGGGAGAGGGGGCTGACGTCCGCCCGCTTGCCTTCCCCAAGAAGCAGAGACCCCTGGCACCCAGGAACATGGGAGCCTCACCCAAAGCCTCAGACTCACAGAGCGCTGGGCAGCTTTGGCTTTCGTGGGTGCTCGCCGCGTGCCAGCACTGTGCCAGGCGCCGCGCAGGCCCTCACGACGCGTAGGTGCCAGAGCAATCCTGAAATCACAGCGGGGGTGAACGGCAGAGCGGGGTTCACGCCGCCAGTCGGGCCGGGCGTGCGCAGTGAGGCAGTGCGCTCTCCTCGGAACCCAAGCCGCGAGGCCAAGCTGCCTGCCCAGCTCTCTCATCAGAGCAAGAGCCACAGTCCTCACGGGGGCACAGCCCTGGCTGAGCCAGTGCCTCTCTGGCCTGTCTCCTACCGTTCTCGCTGCTCATTTGCTCCAGCTGCTGGCTCATTCCTGTCCCAGGGCCTTTGCACTTGCTGTTCCCTCTGCCCGGGACGATCCTTCCCCATGGAGCTGCTGGCTCTGTTCCTTGCTTCCAGACCCGTGCTCAGAGATCACCTCCTCCAAGAGGCCTTCTCCAACCTCCCTTGTGTGAGAGACATTCCTACCCTCTTCCCGGTCCCCCTGGACCCGTACCTTCCAGTGCAGCAGCCACCAGCTGTGTGTAGCTCCTGAACTCTTGAACTGCAGCTGGGCAGAGTCCGGACGTACCGTAAGTGTAAAATACGCACTGATTTCAAAGACACAGAATGAAAAAAAAGTAAAATAACGAGAATTATTTACACTGATTACATATCGACATGGTAACTTTTGGAACTAGTGTATTAAACTACCCATATCGTTAACATTAATTTCATCTGTTTCTTCTTGTGTTTGTCCACGGGGCTGCGAGAGAGTCTAGAAGTGCCGGGTGGCTCACACGCGCTGGTGCTGTCACCTGCTCTGTCGCCCTTCCCAGCACGTGCCCATCCTCCACATCACAGGTTACATGTATATCTGCTTGTCACCCACCCCAGGACAGCACCAGCCCCCCAGAGCGGGGGTTTGTGCCTGTCTTGTGTGCTGTCGTACCCCGCACACAGAGGGGCAGCTGTGGAATGAATGAAGCGCTTACTCTGTGTCCAGCATTATTCGAGGCTTTTCTCTTGAGCGTTTGACCTTGAAATAAGGTGTGGGGTGTCGGGTCCACAGCAGGGTGGCCAGAGCACTACCAAGAGCTAAGAGCAGCTTCGGGTCCAAACACCGCCTCTGCTACCAGGAGGCAGGAGCCACGGTTTTCCTGCCTGTCCTGTGAGGCTCTTGCCCTCTGCCCAGAGGTTCAGGAGTGGGCCCTCCGCGCGGCTGTCCTGCGAGCCCCAGTGGGTGTGAGGGGCTGGGGCTGCCATCCTTGCCGACTTGCGCCTGAGCTGCACAACAGGCTGAAACGAATCATCCCCTAGAGAGAGGCCGCCATCTCCAGCGTGGCCCCATGGTGGCAGTGGGAGTAGAGGAGCCAGGCTCAGCTCTGGCAGGAAGTCCCCGTGCCCCTGGGCTGGGAGCAGGGATCAGAGAGGGAGGCCTGGGGAAGCACAGGTGGACATGACATGGTCCACGTCCTTGAGAGGATCTCAGACAATCCCAGGGATGTGAGGTAGTTGGTGGGAGGGGTCCGACAGGGGCTGTCATATTCCGGGGGCGTGGGTGGCCTTTACCGGGTTGATCAAAGGATTGACTCCCAGAGGAGGTGACATTTCCCCTGGGTGGATGGGCTGAATGGGTGCCTGCAGGGACGGGCTTCCTAGCTGGGACCCGGGGCCGCGGTGGAAGCTGGCAGGAGGGCGTGTCATGGGCCTGGCTGCCCTCAGTGCTCTTGGCCTTCTGTGCCCTCTGTGACCACCGTCGGCGTGGTGGCCACTGCACCAGGTCTGCTGGGAATGTGGCCAGCCAGCCATGGCCATGACAGGGACAGAGGACCCTGGGTATCCCTGCAGAAGGGGTGCCAGAAAGTCCGCCAGCCACCAATTCACCTATGGCCCCTGGAGGGGCCGGCCAGCCTCGGTGTGCACACCTGCCAGCGCGAGGCGCTCACTCCTCCCAGAGCAGCTCGTGACGGGAGAAACATTTTCCTCAGACCAAGTTTGCCTTCCTGTGACCCTGCCCCTCCCCAGGCCCACGCTCTGTCCTCAGGGACACAGATGGAGAGCAGCCCTGTAGGGACACAGATAGCATTGGATCCACTGTGAATTCTCCAGCTGTCTCCAGTGACTCCCTGCCTGTCTCTGCCCTTCTGTCGTGCTGGGCAATGAAGGACACGGGGGGTGCCCCTCAACTTGCCCATGACCTTCAGAATGTCCTCTGCTGCTCACTGCCTCAGTTTCCCCCTCTGGGAGGTGGCCATGGCTCACAGAGCATCCCTCACAGGCAGCCATGAGGCCCTGCAAGCAGTGCCTGGCCTGGCCCCGGCTGCTGTGGCTGGGTGTGCCCCCCTCTTTCCCGGGGAAGCTGGGTTCTGAGAGTGGGCTGCCAGGTGGGCGGGCCGCAGGCAGGCCTGGCCCATTACGGGGATTAAGGGGCGGCTGGCTTTGTAATTACCGCCCCCACCCATACCTGGGAGGTGGGGCGGGGGCAGCTGGGGAGCCAGCGATTTAACACCTGCAGGTAATTACCAAATGATCTACCTCCTGGGAACTATTTTTATCTTAATCTCTTATTTGGTTCCAAATAAATTGGGAGAGGGATGGGGAGGGCCTGGGATGCAGGCAGCAGGGGTTGCTGGGGCACCAAGAGGTCATACCCCTCATGGCCACCATCAGGACACCTGGCGCTGGAGTTTGCCTGCCATGGGGAGGGGACGTCCAACCGTTCTGGGGCCTGCGGGTCACCTGGGAAAGGTGGGAGCCCTGGAGGCCCTGCTGCTGGGAGGGTGGGGGGTGTGGAAGGAGGAGGGGGTATATAGTTGGTGTGACACGGTGGCTGGCCAGGACTGGTGTGTGACTGGATTCAGATGGGGATGTACCTGAGCAGGTGGGTATGCATCTGGCTGTACCTGAGTAATGGTGTTTGCCAGGGCAATGCCTGCGTGTGCGTGTCTCAGTGTGTATTGGAGGAGGGCTGGGCTGGTCTTCAGTGGTGGCTGCCTGTGTTCTGTGTGTGGCTGTATAGGTGACAGCACGGGCGTAGGTGGGTGTGATGGCGTGCGTCCACAGGTCGCGGGTCTCCTGGGTTTGGGTGTGTGGGATTCACGCAGGCAGGTGCGGGGAGCAGCAAAGAGGCTGCAGGGGCGGGAGCGGTGGGGCAGGGCGCCCAGGGCTGCGGGGAGGAGCCGAGTCAGTGGCAGTGAGGGGGAGAGTGTGTGCGGGGTGAGGGTGTGTGGGCTGCTCGTGCCCAGCTGAGCGGGGTGAAAGTACATGTGCCTGGTCTGAGCCTGGACTGGGGCTTGGGTGGGCGTTTTATGGCTGTGTGGTTCTAGGGGTTCTACCAGGAGGGGCAAGTGGCCGTGGGACTGCACGGCTGGGGGTGGGTGTGGGGCTAGCCATGGACGAGTGTGGGGTGGCCTGACCAGTGGGTGCCCGTAAGTGTTTACCAAGGGGCTTAAAAAAGTCAAGTTCTCATTTGCAGGATTGGCCACTTCCCGTGGTGTAAATACTCCACTGTGGTTTATTTCAAGCCACCAACATTCTGGGAGTCCCTGAACGTGCAGAGTTGGGAAACGGTGTGCACAGCTGGCTCCGCGAGCAAGCGGACCTGGCGCCAGCACCCCGCCCTGGGGGCAGGTGGTGTAGGGGAGTGTGTGGGTGCAACTGAGGGCATTTGCAGTGGGGGGCATGTGAGAGAGGGTATGGGTACTAGGGCTGGACATAGCGCTTTTGTTCTCTGCCAAGCCCACTCCGCACTGAAATGTTTAACAAGGGGCTCTCCGACCCTTGACCCCACCCTGACCCTCTGCTTCCTGTCCCTATACGATGAGGGCGAGAGCCCTCCTATGCCCCTGCTCTGTGCCAGGTCCTGAGTTGGTTACTGAGAACTCAGAAATGGGCCAGAGAGGTACCCGCCTGGCTGGGGAAAGCACCTGGAGGGGAGGACCTCACGTCCGCACACAGAGGACCGGCCGGAACTTGGGCAGCGGCCTGAGGCCAGCTGCTTAGAGGGTTTTTCCAAAAGCTTGGCTTCTCGAGCCTGCTGAGCCTCGGTTTCCCCAACGGGAGTAAGAGGGGTGAAGCCTGGTCACCTATGGTGCATCTGAGTCCTGCAGGGGTGGAGAGGCTGCTAGAGCTTTGCTCTCCTAAGCCCGGGCACCAGGGCCTGGGGACTGTTGGGGCTGAGAGAGGAATTCTGTGGGAAGCAGGTGGAGGGCTGATTTGGAAACAGCCCCACCTTGGGGTCTGGCATATTTGGGGTCCAATTCCGTCTGCAAGACTTTGAGAAAGTCATTCCACTTTCCTGAGTCCTGGCTTGCAGGTCTGTGAAATGGGTGAGGTGTGATCAGATGAGATGCCTGTGGGTGGCACACTCCGCAGGGCCCCCTCCACATGCACAATCACCCCCATCCTGCCCTGCTCTGGGCCCAGGGTAAGCTAGGCCTGGTTCCCAAGGTCCGGACATCATGACACTGAGAGCTGGGTGTCCAGATTGGGAACGTCAGTGCTTTCTAAAACTAGTGGCAGA